ACATATTTGCGACCATTCTGTATATTTATATCTTGACTGGCTACTTTATTTCTTGAAGTATAAACGTTACATAGGTATTATTTTCTATACCAAGATGACATGTTTCATTAAATTCCAATCGATCACCTATTGGTGTACCTCTTATCTGAAAGAAAATTTTCTGAAATTAAAACGATATTTGATAACTTTTAAAAATTCTTTTTTTTTTTTAGAATTGGTAAGGATGCAATGGGAACCGACAAAAAGAAAGAAGTAGACAAACAGACAACAAAAGAAGACATTCCGTTGACTAAATTTCAGATCCTTCGGAATGTATTTGTCGTCAGCCTTGGGTTTGTCTTTCTTTTTACATCCTTTCAGTCGTTACAAAATCTTCAAAGTACTCTTAACAAGGACGAAGGGATCGGCACAGGAGGATTGTCCATCATCTATGGAGCTCTTGTTATATCATGTATGTTTGTGCCTTCGTTTGTCATTAATCATATTGGTTGTAAATGGACCATTGCTGCATCTATGATCTGCTACATTCTGTATATGGCAGCCAATTTCCATGCCAGGTGGGGTATAATTGTCCCAGCATCTATTATCATTGGTCTAGGCGCTGCACCTTTGTGGTCTGCTAAGTGTACATATCTGACAAGAACAGCCGTCTGGTATGCACAATTGACTGGATCAACAGAAAATGACGTCATTAATAGATTTTTTGGTTTCTTCTTTATGGTTTTTCATACAAGTAAGTAAAATTAAATTAAAAGAAGACTTGAGACAAACATCAATGACACCCCTCCTCCTTCCACGATACATGATTAAAAAATAAACATTCTGTATTTGCCTGTCCCAAGTCAGGAGCCCGTAATTCAGTGTTTGTCGTTTGTTGCTGTGTAACTTATTTGTTTTTCGTTCATTATTTTGTACATGAATTAGGCCGTTAGTTTTCTCGTTTGAATTGTTTTACATTTGTCATTTCGGGGCCTTTTATAGCTGACTATGCGGTATGCGCTTTGCTCATTGTTGAAGGCCGTACGGTGGCCTATAGTTGTTAATTTCTGTGTCATTTGGTCTCTTTTGGAGAGTTGTCTCATTGGCAATCATACCACATCTTCTTTTTATATATAAGTGAAAATATAAAAAAAGACATCTAAAGAAGATCACACATGCGGTCCTTATTTTATTTTTAACAATGTCTTTCATAAATAGAGTTCAGTTATGTTTTATGCAGACGGAATGCACTTTTGCAATTTGAAATATGTAGACACAAGCGAGTGGAAACCAAACAATTTAAAAGTCATAGAGGACGGGAAACAAATAGACCTCAACAAAACGTTTTAGAGTAGTTCAAAGGATAAGCGAACCCTACAAAAATAGCATAAATCTACACTTTAAAATATCAACGAAATACTTTCTTTGGACTAAGTAAGCTAAAATCGAAACACTGCATGCTCATTGTTAGAAGTATACATGTTATCTTAAAATAGGATAAACTGATTTAAACTGCAATTTATGATAAGTACTTTCTGCCCTAATTACATGTCAATATTGACAATTGTAGAAAATCGCAATGTAACAAACATTTTTCATGTTTCACAACTAAACATGTGAGTAAGCTCTCGATCCTGCCCTAACCTGGGACAGTGGTGTAACAGCATAACATAAGAACAAACTGCAAGAATCAATTAGAAAAGGCTTAACTCATCATATCGGCACGAAACACAAGAAACAACTAACATTATAATGAAATAGTACTCGCAGTTACTTAAAGCTAGTTTATAGCCAAAAACAACTTATATCGATCTGATTAGTTACGCCCTTTTCAACTGATTTGTATAGTTAGTTCTTATGTTGTACTGTTACACCACTGTCCCAGGTTGGTGGAGGGTTAGAGCCTTCAAAAATGTTTAACCTTGCCATATTCTTTATGTGTGTGTCCCAAGTAAGGAGCATGTATTCAGTGGTTGTCGTTGGTTCATGGCTGTAATATTTGTTTTACGTAAATTGTTTTGTTATAAATTAGGCCGTTAGTTTTTGCAATTGAATTGTTTCATATTTTTCATGCCTTTTGTAGTCGACTATTAGGTATGAGTTTTTCACATTGTTTAAGGCTGTGCGTTTGCCTATAATTGCTTACATCCACTTCATTTGAACTGTGTTGGATAGTTGTCTAATCTCCTTCTTTTTATATTATAAACAATCATGTTCTCCCACACTAAAATATCACTCAGTACACAGCCAACGGATTTAGTGACATCTTTCACCTGTAAATAGTCTGAGAAAAGCATACAATATCGGCACGATTTAGAACAATGAGATTTGATAAATGTAAAGCAATACACATTTTAGTTATTTTTAAGAAAATCAATGTTATTACCGATAAATACAATATTCAAGATCTGAAAAAGGTGTTAAATTGATATCCTTACAGAATAGGTTAATTCAAAGGATCAATAAGTCTTTATGGATCATATCTACATGTTTGGGCGTTATAAACAATATTATCATAAAATTAAGGATGTGACATCCCGTTTTTGATAAGAATTTTACAGGTGCAAACAAACTTCAAAACAAAATTTTTATATCTGTAATGAAAGAAATTAGTAAAATTTTAAGTAAATTAGGGTAACGAAATCCCTCTATTAATAATTTACAAGTTATATATAGGTTACGTTCATGAAAATCTAAAAACCAGGCCCATAATTAATACTACTTTGTTTATTTTATTGCATCTTCAGCAATAATATCTGCATTTCTCAAAAGCTTGAAAACATTCTTCCAATGTAACGGCATTGTGGACCTATTTACTTTTTGGATAATGTGTATTTACAAAACTTTGCATTTTTTTTTTATATATCTTTATGTTTTCGAGTGCGTCGTGGTACCTTCCGACTCAATGGAAATAAGGGAGCTACCATTTGATTTTTATGGGGGGGGAGGGGGGCTAGGATGAAAAATGTTGTCCTGCATTTTTATTTAGTTGTATTCTCTGTCCTGCCTTTTTATTTAGTTGTATTCTCTGTCCTGCCTTTTTATTTTTCACTCTATTCCGTCCTGCCTTTTTTTTTAAAGTTTATCCTGACTTTTTTTTACCTAAATTGTCATCCTGACTTTTTTTTTTGCAAGTATCTCATCCTGCCTTTTTTTTTTACTCAAAACTCCTGTCCTGCCTATTTTTTTCAAATTTCATCCTAGCCCCCGTCCGAATTATTCTCAATCTAACACAAAATAACCATAAGGGTGGATAACAAACTATAGTTTACATACTGTCTTTAGGGTAGAGAGCCATGTTGATTAATTTCATCTGGAAAAAAGAGAAACAATGCAAAACCATGCCTCCTCCTCGTTTAGTTTTATGTTTACGCATAGGAAAGGGTGGTATTACAAGAGGGTACCAGACAACTCGGACCGTCTATGAAGACAACTCGGACCATCAATAAGTCAGCTCGAATCGTCTATAAAGTCATCTCGGAACGGCTATAAGTCAACTCGGATCGGCTATAATGCCAACTCTGACTAAGTATAAAATTAGAGTATTGACGAAATAATTGATTTAATGAAAAAGACTGTGTCTGAAGAGAAGTCTCTAATAAAGTTTTGACCCCGATTTAGAGTATACAAATGACCAAAACGACAACTCGGACCGTCTATGAAGAGACGTCTATAAGTAAAACCTAAGACGTACACAAAATCAAAACAAGTATGGCATTCACATAATATAATTTGAGCACTAAGAACAACTTAAAACATATAATAAGGAATCATTATTTCAAAACCACTAAAGTTAAACAGTACGATTCATCTCATAAGCTAGAAATTAATAGTTCATATAGCCAAGCACTAAAATTCTTACTAAGCACAATGTAAAGTTAATCTTATAACACTGACAAAATTTAATCAAACGGACGGTCCATAAATACGGGCACACTTCTTCAGGAGGTGACTGACAGTCATGTCTTTGGTGGCATACAACTCCATGCAGTAGGCAGCATTCCTTGTGTTTGCGTTTTGCGTTTTTTTTTTGGAACCTGACTAGTATGCAATCTATTGGTGTTTTCTTTGCTCCCTTGTACTTAAGATGAAGAAGAACGTAGAGTTGGAGGTTGCCTTTCTTTGCCTTTCGGTTGAGTCGGTGGTGCAATCCTTCGACATCATTGTTGGTACGGCCACTTATGCCAAACACACTCCTGAACTGAAATGACCATACCGAGATCTGCAACCAGGTGATGTTGACGTAATATATGACCTCTTGCAGTTGAAAAATTTGAATTCACATTATACAATATGTTTTTTTTTTATTATTTTTTGCAAATTCAGCAACATGTAAATTGTCATGTTAACTTTAATAATCATTTATATAGTTCAAATCCTAATTTTATACTTTGTATGAGTTGTCATTATAGACGGCCCGAGTTAACTTATTAGTCGGTCCGATTTGGTTCGATCCGAGTTGTCTCCAGGCCGAGTTGTCCCGAATTCTCACACGATAGATTCATCGTTCATAATTTATTTTCATTTATAAATTCAAGAGATTAAATAGGTAGCTTGTCGACTTTTCATAGTGAATGGTTTAAATGCTTAAAATGAGACGTTATTTCCTCTTAGGCCTTATAAAATATCTTGTGTTTCCGCTAACCCCTGCCTATCCTAATTTGTAGTGCTTGGCCTTAAGGTTTTGGTCATTTTTTTATCAAGCACTATTAAAGTCAGACTGTTTTTTTTTAATATTATTTTCCTACCTACCTACCCTTTTTTTTCCAACATGTTAGCGGACACACAGGTATTATTTTATTAGACCTCAGTTGCACAGTGAAGATTTTTTTCTTAAATCAGCAGCTCACTTAGATTTTGAAGTGGGAAATTAAAAGTCTGTTGTGTGAAAACTTCCAATCATTCCATGAAATTAAACATGATTAACACATGATTAAATTAAACATGATAAACATATGATCACATTAAACATGAATAACATATGATCAATTAAACATGATTAACATATAATCAAATTAAACATGAGTAACATATAGTCAAAATAAACACGACTAATATGAAATTATGATCAAATTAAACATGATGATCAAATTAAACATATTAACATATGATCGAATCAAACCGGATTGAAATAATATGATCAAATTAAACATGATTAAGATATGATCAAATTCAACAGGATTAATTTAGCATAATTATGATAAATACGTTTACACAATGTAACTAACCATCATCCTTAATCCAGGTAAAATTTGGGGAAATCTGATATTATCTGAAGTATTTAGCAAACCGGTTGACTCAAACTTCACCCCGACAGCAGATGAACTTGCACAATGTGGAGCAAATTATGACCCAAGTAAAGAGGTTAACAATACCAATCTCGATAGACCCGATATTGCAAAGGTAATGACTATTGTTTTCGATGTTCCTGGTGCTTATTCTTAGCAGACAACAAATAATAGTACGTAAATCGAATTGATGGCAATGTAACATATATATATGATTTCAATAATTTTTCGAGTGATTATTTTTGTATTCGTCTTTCGTAAGACCATGTGCACTATAAAATTTATGAGGTTTGTGCAAAGGGAGTCAAAATATACCAAAATGATATTCAAACTCCTCATTGGAAAACAAACTGATAATGTCATGGCAAAAACGAAAAACGAAAAACGACGAAAAGACAAACAACAGTACACAGGTACATAAAACACATAATAGAAAACTAATGATTGAGCAACACGAACCAATTTTTTTATAAAATGAGATTACATTTTACTAATTTCAAAGACAACTGTTGAAACATGTACATCATCGTGAAAAAAAACTTTCATGGTTATTTTATTTGCATCCTACTTTGTAAACTTGCACAAAATGTGGACTAAGTATATAAGTTAGCAGTCAGGTAATTAAGGTTGCAATGATCCACGTCCTATGCTTCACTGACTTTCGTTACAGTTTATTACATATGAGCACAATAATATACAAGGTCTTTTAATTTGTAAATTAAATTGAAGTACATTAGCGTTAACCAAATCAAGAAACTTTGAGCTACAATGCATGCCTCATTGATTTTGTTCAAGTATACACAACTAGATCACATATCTCTGTACAGTTACAGCACAAAATGTAGAATTAGATTTAAACACATCCACGTTTCGTTCAGCTAGTTTACTCCTCCTTTCGGGCAGGGTATAATAATTATCTGGATGGTCACTGTAAAAGTAAATGTATTCATCTTCAAGAATAGAATGTTTAAACATTGAAAACATTTATCACTTAAAAAGAGAGGTGAGAGATACTAAAGGGACATTCAAACTCATTACTAGTAGTCGAAAATAAACTTATAACGCCATGGCAAAGAAAAAGAAAAAGACAAACAACAGTATACAAAACATAATATAGAAAACTAAAGACAACTAAAGACAACACGAACTCCACCAAAACCGGGGGTGATCTCAGGTGCTTCGGAAGGGTTAGCAGATCCTGCTTCACATGTGGCACCCGTCGTGTTGCTCATGTAAGTACAAACCGGTAATAAGTCTAGTTCGGTAGGTCATATTCGGGGAAAAGAGGACGGGGTTGTGGTTACGACAATTTGAACGTATCTGTCGTCATCTATGAAACAGATATTTCATAACGGCCAACCAACTTGTGATGGCGTCCGTAAAATTTACGAATGATTGATTTCAACATCACCACTTGGAACTCTTGGTTTAATAGCTCTCTTGTGATCAGCTACCTTCTATCAGGAAAATCATGGTAGGAAATACAAGCCCTTGAATATCGTATCAACTGGGAGATATATACTCCACATGCAGGCGCTGTGGGAGTGCTACTACATAGAAATGGAAAGTTTACAATTGGGAATAAGGGAATCTGTCCATGTTGATAATATAATTAATACAATTGAAAATCCTTAAACCATATCGTATCATATCATTTCAGGTGTATACTGTATGTGGAATTTATTTGGCTAGTGGCACGATCGGATTTCTTATTATTGTTTTCCTTCTTCAAAACATACCTGTTCATAACGAAAATGAAAAAGAAAAAGGCAAATTTTCTTTTTATTTGCTGATTGAAACTTTTAAACATTTGTGGAAATCCCCAACTCAAAAAATGATAGTTATATTGACGATATACAGTGGCGTACAGCAAGCATTCATTGCTGGAGACTTTACTAAGGTAAGAAATTTTAGTTATATTAACAATGTACAATGGTTTAGATTAAGCATTCATTGCTGGAGTTTTTACTTAGGTAAAATGTTGTTAGTTATATTGACGATATACAGTGGTGTAGAGCAAGCATTCATTGCTGGAGATTTTACTAAGGTAAGATGTTGTTAGTTATATTGACAATGAACAGAGGTGTAGAGCAATCATTCATTGCATGAAATTTTACTAAGGTAAGATGTTGTTAGTTATATTGACAATGAACAGAGTTTGTAGAACAAGCATTCATTGTTGGAGATTTTACTTAGGTAAGAAGTTGTTAGTTATATTGACAATGAACAGTGGTGTAGAACAAGCATTCATTGCTGGAGATTTTACTAAGGTAGGATGTTGTTAGTTATATTGACAATGAACAGAGTTTGTAGAACAAGCATTCATTGTTGGAGACTTTACTTAGGTAAAATTTGATGGTTGTATTGACAATGAACAGTGGTGTATAGCAAGCATTCATTGCCGCAGATTTTACTAAGGTAAGAAGTTGCTACTGTTATTGACAGTGTACAATGGTTTAGAGCAAGCATTCATTGCTGGAGTTTTTACTTAGGTAAGAAATTGTTAGTGAAATTAAAAAGGAACAGTGGTGTTGAGCAAGCATTCATTGCTGGAGTTTTTACTAAGGTAAGAAATTGTTAGTGATATTGACAATGTACAATGGTCTAGAGCAAGCATTAATTTCTTGAGAATTTACTTAGGTAAGATGTTGTTAGACAATAAGTTATATTGACAATGAACAGTGGTGCAGAGTTAGCATTCATTGCTGGAGAGTTTACTAAGGTAGGATGTTGTTAGTTATATTGACAATGAACAGAGGTGTAGAGCAAGCATTCATTGCTCGAGATTTTACTAAGGTAAGAAGTTGTTAGTCACATTGACAATTAACAGTGGTGTAAAGAAAACATTCATTGCTTGAGGTTTTACTAAGGTAAGATGTTGCTATTTATATTGACAATGAACAGTGGTGTAAAACAAGCATTCGTTGGTGGAGATTTTACAATAAATATGCTCCTTGTATCTAGAATGGATGTTAAAAAGTCATGAATAAATTTAACAAAGATTATCAAAGATCTACAAAAAGCATGTTGGGTAATGTTCAACAATCGGTCTTTAACAACAAAAGACAAGATTTAGTGTCTATATATTGAATCGAGCAAAAATTGAATTTTCGTTGATATTAGATTTCGTTGTTTCGCCGAGGTCTGCTTACAAGCCTATGAAAAACTTGTACTTCTTTGAATATTCAAATTCGTGGTTCATCTATACCCACGAAGTCGACGAACCTAAATAAAAAAAATAACGATCGACTGTTTATATTGAGTATTCTGCTTTCCTCTGCCATTACAACGGACACAATGAAAATCCGCGAATTTCAACAAAGCAAAGGAAAGACAACTCATACACACACACAAAAAAAAAAACGATTAGCAATAGTTTCTTCGTTATTGTTTACATTATTCCTTGTCTTTCAAAGTCTTATGTAGGCTGTACCATTGGTATTTGGAACGTAGGATATGTCATGATATGTTATGGTGTGGTGGATGCCATTTGCTCGTTCAGTTTTGGTAGACTAGTAGAGTATATTGGACATATACCATTTTTTGCCTTTGGTAAGATTTGATTTTTTTTAATATGCAGCTCTAATTATAACTTAACTTATATTGTTAGTTGCAAAACAGCTTTGATAATCGAGGTAAGACGTTTGTTTTATGATAGCCAATGACAACCACTATACAGGTAAGCCAATAAGTAATTAAATTGATCACGTTCTTCGATGACAAGGCCAAAGCTGTTTTTCAAACAATATAAACAACAAGTTATAAATTTCTTGCGTCCGAAGCGCTTTTCTGCATTTACCTTCATCAGAAACGCTCAAAGCCGAATATTTGAACCATCCTATTTCGCAGATTAATAGGGGAAACCAAATTCCTCTCTATCTGACAGTGTTAGTTTCAAATCTTTTAAAGAGAGAAAAGAGGTTCTAATAATTTCAAGTTGATATGACAATAACTTCGAGATAAACTGCCACCTGATACGGACGGATGGGGCAGACGGACGCATAGACTGGAAAATTTCACGCTCCTTTTATTATATCGTAGGCTTAGATATTAAGAAAATCTCTCGAGAATTAAGAAAATATGCCGTCTTGTGGCCATTGAATTTAGTAGTATGTGTATACTATTTTATGTTTGGTTAAAAAAATAACCTTTAAATATGTTTCGCTTTTCTTTTTTTTTTTATTTGACATAATCATGTTGGATGTCAAAATGGATAGAAACTGTACGCAATATTAGTTTATTCTAAATTTTTTTATTTGATAACAGACTTTGCCATATATAAAATTTGATGTACATGTATATTCATTGAGGCTTCGGTCAAAATGTATGCAATATTTCTGATAAAAGCAAGAACAAGAAGAGATTGTAACCCCAAAAATAAATTTTGCCGACGTTGTATCTACTAATTGGATATATATTAATGAGCATTATATATTATAAATAATACATGGAAATGGAATAAAACCTGTTGAGGAGTAGTTACACTTAAGCAAAATAATGCTCTGAAAATTAAGAAAGAATATTCAATGGATTGTTAAAGTGTATTAAGTCTACATGGTCTAGTAGCTCAATTTTAATAAAGAATTCACATTTCGTTCTTTTGACATGTTATTGTTATGGTAGAAGAAAGTCATAAGAAATGAACGTCAGGTTGAGTTTGTAACCAAACAGTTTCTATCCTCATATGGTAGGTTTCTTGATAATTCTTGACTTGCCAGTAAGAGAGAAGTTATTACATACGTGACAAACTAGTTTTCATGGAAACACTTTAATATTATAGCTCGTTTGAACTGTGGTCTTTATTATCATAACGATGTGTTATAATCATTTCAGCTTTCTTTGTTCATGGTGGGACACAGATAGCTTTACTCTTGTGGCAGCCGCAGCAAAACCCAAAATACATATTTTATATAGTAGCTGGTTTATGGGGAATAGGTGATGCTGTAATACAGACACAAATTAATGGTATGTAAATAACAAATCTGCAGATGTATATTTTTACTTTCGTCTAAAAGACTCCAGTTCTTAACAACTATTCTTTACCTTATTATACATTTCTTTTTGTTGTGAAGTGCGGGAAAAGAGGTCAACAAAGGAAGTCATACTGTTATAAATGGTATTAAAAACGGTAAACTGAGTTAACAGCAGCAAACAAACCGTTAAGTATCACCTTTGTCTTCGGACAAGGACATCGCAAATAAAATTCCGTTGAAAGTTTATTACATAACAAAAATTGTACTATTTGTCGATCGTGATCACCGTAAGATTGAACCATATTTAAGACATTGCAGCAAATTGCTCGAGTACGGGTGGTTATTGGTTCAATCCTCAGCAAGTTAAAAACAATACTTCAAATTTGGTATCTGCGAGTCATGTATGACTTTTATAAAGACAGGTCGACTGAAAGTCGGAAAAGTGTATCAAAGTAGGATGAAATGTCTTTCTGCCGAGTGTTACATTGTCAGTGAGCAGATTGAAAATTCATATCACCGGTCTTGTACATGTCAATACTATGCATCTGATATTTACAGAGGGGCGTTTATTTGTTCCATTTAACTATCCGTAATATTATACAAATTTTTAATTGTACCTGATTATTGAAAAAATTTCTATTTAGTCACGTGAAACGGAGCTCGCTACGTCATCAGAGAACCACAATAATCGTTTACTGTCACTGCGCGGGAACGTACAAAAACAAAATGTACGACCACTTGCACTTATCTTTTTCAATCTTTGACCATGCGATACCCTATTGTAAGTCAAGGTCATAATATATCTAATCAGATGATACATTTTCATTATTACATTGGTTGCAATAAATAACCGTGATTTCTCAGTGAAATAAAAACCGATTATTTCACATGGGCAATAAATCTGATAATTTTACTCCTCTGACCACATACAACATTTGGTGTTTTCAAGACGTTGTCGATTACATTGGAATTAAACGATTGAGAATGCGTAGGAAAATATATAGTTCCTTTCATTTTCTACTTTATTTCCATTAAAAAGTTCATGATCAATGTAATAAAAGAAAAACTATCCAAGAATTAAAATATCGAAAATAAATTAATAAACTCATGACCGAACAACATTGTTTATTAACACATGCGCTACGCGCATGCGTGAATTAATGTGTTGTTCGAAACTCGTTGAATATATTTCTATATCGAAATCTTAAACTAGTTATTATATAAATCTTATTTCAAGCGGTGTAGCATAAATAGCAATATGATGCAAAGCAGTATTAATCAAGATGCATCTTAGTACTTGGTACATCAACATATATTAAAAATGGAAAAAAGACACAGAAGATACTAAGAAGACAATCAAAAATTACAAAAAAACAGAAAATACCATGGCCAAAAAGAAAATGGAAGAAACGGCAGACAACAGTCTACAAAACACTTGACAGAAAAACAAAGAAAGCGTATCACAATCCCAACAAAAACAGGGGATCCCAAATGCTTCAGAAGGGTATACAGCGGTGCCATGTCCGATATTAATTCTTTTTCATATTATTGCTCATTGCTTCCATAAAAATCTTCTTTGCATTTTTTTTAATTGATATTTCCTATGTTTCAGCACTGTATGGCTACTTATTCACAAACAACATTGAGGCAGCCTTTGCTAATTATCGTTTGTGGGAGTCCGTCGGTTTTATCATTACCTTCGCCTGTAGTAATTTCCTAATAACATATGTTAAGCTATACATATTTCTTGGTTTTTTGAGTGTCGGGATGATGTTGTATGTGGTAGTGGAAGTTTACGATAGAAGAAACAAGAAGACTGGTTTTGACCTAAATTGAACCTAGATTCCAGGGAACTTGTATATATCCTGTATCTGATTTTAGTACATAACCGTTAGCATAATATGATAAAATATTGTAAAGCATGACATATCAAGGTAGTCCAAGGGAAAAATCATGTCGACCATCTTGTATCCCTAATGGTCGGAAATAGATTTCTACTAAAATTACTAAACTTTAATAGTGTAGAAAAGCTGCCAATTACCTAAATTTTAATTAATATGATGTATCTTTTGGGAATTTTTTTCCTATTACGAGTAAATGATCATCGGTTATAATGAAGGGAAGTAAATAATTTTGTCTACCGTTTATTTTCTTCTGTTTAAGTTATCACAAAGCTACACGAAGAAATATAGTATCATTAAATTATATCAGTATGAAAAATTCAAATTGCATGACTTAGAATAAACGTAGTACTATGTCTGCTACAGGTGGCACGGTAGTATTGGCAATCCGGAATTTAGGTTGCTCTTTTGTGTACCCTACTTAAGTCAATGTATCTGAACAGTGTGCTTTGACAAAAAAATACAGTATCCACTGAACATATTTTCCCAAACTGAGAGATGAGGTGTAGAAAAATATGAAACAATTTTACATACAGGTGAAAATGAATTTTTGAGAATTTTTTAAATTTTGTATTCACTGCATGATAAAAGACATAAAAGCACTAGTGGCCTTAGGTTTATAAAGATAGCAGAAAAAGTAAACGGTCATCATTCATATTCAAATTAATTTCTGAATATTATAATGAAAGTACTTCAGTTAACTGTGTATGTAGAATTTTGGGCAGTGTTAGAAAATGGTGAAACTTCTAAATAGGCTATCATTATCCCTATGGGCCAGAAAATACTACCGTGCCCCCTACAGAGCTTGAAAAAATTATAAAATTATCTATATTTCATAGCGGTTTTTACTATAATACCACATGGTAAAAAAGTAACAAATGTAAAAGTTAAGTTTCTTTTTTTACACTCGTACATGTACTCGTCATTCCTGAAATATTTTCTCCATCTGTCAAGAAATTAAACTTTCCTAAGGACATGAATTCTCTCTTCAATATTGAAAGTTTGCACTTCACGTGCAGAACGCTGGTACAAAGTGTATCCTCATTCTGGAAATTAAAAAAAACATGACATATCGCAATATGAAATGCATATTTCAAAATAGACCTCACGTCTCTCTTGTACAATTCGAATTTACCAATTTTTATCTGAACTATAATAGTCTGACTCTCTTCGTTAAGTTTATTTTGATATCTACACGACAAATAAAAGTGTACAGTCATCATTATTGTTTTAAAGTACAAAACTAAAGTTTTCCCGTTTGAATGGTTTCACACTAGTAATTTTGGGGCCCTTTATAGCTTGTTGTTCGGTGTGAGCCAAGGCTCCGTGTTGAAGACCGTACTTTGACCTATAAAGGTTTACTTTTATAAATTTTGACTTGGATGGAGAGTTGCCTCATTGGCACTCATACCACATCTTCTTATATCTATATAAACAGATGATATGTTATCCTTTTCATCTTTCGTAAATGACAATCCTTCCTCGTCACAAGTGTGTTTTTATTAATTCAAGTATCTCTGTTTACATATAAAAGGACCACAGAATAGATATTACATGTCGTTGAAGAGTACTTTGATAAATTTTTTGTTTCCCAGTACGTCTGTTTTGCTGAGTGTGAATTCGCATTGCTATACGACGCGTCTCAGTATTTATACATCCAACATTCAAGTATTTAGTTATGTTTCTTTTGTAAGTCTGGTTTGATATTGTGTTATTTCTTATCGTTTGTGGTTTGAATTCTGTATTTTCGGTACATTTCACATATGTCTTATTTGCCAGTATAGTCGAGTAACTCGTGGATCGTCTTCAGTGTTTTTGTTTTATGCTGTTTGTTTTCAAGTGCGTTTACTGTTTGGTCTTACATGATCTTGCCTTATATTACAGTTATTTTATTTTTATTTTCTATATGTATGTAAAAGTTAAGATAATAAATCAGCTATTTCATGTACCATGTTTATATGATTTTTAGTTTAAAGCAACTATATTCACAGGATTTTTTTGTTTATACACAGTTTTGATTTCGAAGAAAAACCGACATGGTTAGAAAATACAAATAATAACACCATTACAAACACAATTCCATTTTAATATTCTTGTCATGGTTAGAAAATACATAAAATAACACAATTACAAACTCGATCTTATATTGTTGTACGTGTCTACAATAAAACAAATTAATTCTATTTTTAGAAATTTACCTGTGATAATATAAACGTCACAAAAAATACGTCACTTTTGTGGCGTTGATACATTCGTGTCACGCACAGTTTATAATATGTTTGTGGTGTCCTGGTATGCTGTCGTGGATTCATGGGAGGTGTCCGTTGTTATTCTGTGGTTTACATGTTGTAATGTACTATCATATTATTCATTTATGTGTTTCTCTGTTCTGAGTGTTCTTGCATTTATTTGTACTGTATTCCTGTCATGTAATGTTGTCATTTTAGCAGTATTTTTAACATTGCCATATAAGCGGGAGGTTTGGCTAGCCATAAAACCAGGTTCCACCCACCATTTTTTCTTTAAATGTCCTGTACCAAGTCAGAAATATTGCAGTTGTTATCAAATAGTCCGTTTCCATGTATGTTGGCGTTTGTTTTTGTTGCAGTTCAGTATTTCTGTTGTTCCGTTGTTTTCCTCTTATAGTTGATGTGTTTCCCTCGGTTTTGGTTTGTGACCCGGATTTGTTTTCGCGTAATCGATTTATAACTATTGAACAGCAGTATACTACTGTTGCCTTTATTTATTGTGATTAGGTTGTCAGAAAATTGTGTGTTAACTGCTTTGTGACCTTGAAAGTTATTTGTATTTATTACAAATATGCTCTATATCAAGAAACGCTCTTCATATAATTTATGATAATTGTAATACTGAGTCTATGTATAGTCTTGCATGCGTGGCGTCTTTAGCCGAACAGTTTTATATTTTTACTTGATTCAATTCCTATGTGCTGGTTCATATTCTGGACGCCAGTCTTTGCTCCTTTCAATAGGACTTGTATAATTTTTTTTTTATTTTGGTTCATTTATATGTTTCACTGAACTAGTAACATTATTATTTAGGGGCCAGCTTGCCTCCGAATGTGGGATTTGTGTGCTGAATGCCCAGTGGTGGCCTTGGGCTGTTTTCTGCTCTTTGGTCGGGTTATTGTCTCTTTTACACATTCCCCGTTTCCATTCTCAATTTTATCTGTCAGTGACTAATTTTAAAGTAGTACATTTTCTAATTCAGTTACACCATCTTAATACAATGTACAGATACCGTACAATGTACCGTACGTCTTGCGTTCACTTACTTAAATGATTGACATAGCAATATCTCTCCCAAAAACTGCAATTTGTCAACAGAATAAAATAAGTAGATTGTGATTTAGTGGCTTGTTTGTCGAAGGTACGTGTTTTAGGACTAGGGCGTGTCATACAATTAAGAATGGAAATGGGAAATGTGTCAAAGAGACAACAACCCGACCAAAGAGCAGAAAACAGCCCAAGGCCACCAATTGGTCTTTAACACAGCGAGAAAATCCCGCATCCGGAGGCGGGCTTCAGCTTGCCCCTAAACAAAAATGTGTACTAGTTCAGTGAAAATGGAGGTCACACTAAACTCCGAAAGATATAAATGAACTAAAATTTAAAAACCATACAAGACTAACAAAGGCCAGAGGCTCCTGACTTGGGACATGACCATCTTATGACATATATTTGACATTAATGGGTTTATCAAACATGTCTAAACTGAGGGGGAGTCACAGAATGTAATGGTTTTAGGTTGGTCCTAACTGTTTGAATAAAGATTTATACATTGCCATTTCACAAAATATAGGTTGTAGCTTGCAATTGGTGATAGTTCAGTTAGGATTCTATCTATTTCTCGTATTCACGCGTATATATTTTACGATGCACTTCTTGCAATGAAAGATGCACGTTCTACCCTTAAATTCTGTATTGTACTATACTTTGATACTTGAATTCATAAAACTCACTCAAAAATAAACAATTATTTGTATCGATAATATAATGGTATATTAAATAGTTGTAAAGTTTACAATTATCTAAAACTTAGTTATATATTATATTTTATTTGTGTTTCATAAATTTACAATGTCGTGCCACTGATGTTAAACCATAAAAGATATCCTGTACATTTTACTGTTTCAGAGTCTACGGAATTGTTGCTAATTTCAAAGTTGTTACGTAATTCGTTGCTTTTCCATTTTTATTACGATTTTAACCAATCACAACGTTTTTGTGTACACTTTAACATCAAATATCCAGAATGCTGAAAACGGTGAATTACTATTGTTCACTAAACTAATACAGAATTAATTTGATTATGAAAAAATACAGTTACATTACATGCATATTTGCATTATTCAAAATCTGACAAACCTGTTTGTAATTCAGGAACGCCAGCATATTTGCGAGCTTTAAAAATCATTTTTTGATAGATTCTATAAAGTGTCATGTTCAGAAGTGATTAACTTATCTAAAGTCTTATATCAAGTTTTACAATCATCTTTCTACCAAACTGCACTGTCTATTTTCATTGAGATTACACGTACGAATTCAAGAATTCCAGCAGTGGTTAATCATAACGTAAACACAGCATTGTAACATGGTTTTGAAAAAATAGAAGGCACAGAGGGGAAGGATTGACTGGACGTTTCCAAAACATTTATATAAACTATTGTCCTACAATCTATAAAAGTTTTCTTTAGGAATAGACTTGTACACTTAATCGATAAGCACACATACATGCATAGATTAATCAGTTATATATGAGAAAGTACGAGGTACAACAAGGAAGTTTGTTCGGTACATTACTCGTCAGATAATAACAGTTATTATCAACAGACGTAAATTGGTTGCAATCGGAACCTTTTTGTAGGCGAATCGAGAATGACCGAGTAGTAACTATTGAAAATCAATTTTGTCGATAATTTTTGTCGATATTAACAACATACATTACTATATGAATACCTATATCATATCCATATCATATACAATCATGAATCAGTATTTATAATATGGTAA